GGAAGATCGGAACCCTGTCTGCCACCGACTCAGACCACTTAATTACACATCAATAACTTGGACTACATACCTCTTCTAGCTTATTCTTTCCCTTTTTATAATGCTTGAGAAGGATTTCAGTTGTCAGGCTCACACTCTACCTGCCACCTAACGTCTTGCTGATCAAGCACACCAACTACATTCCACATGAATAGTTAGTGATGAAATAAACAATGTCATAAAGGATTGGAGGGATGTTTTCATTGGTTTGAGTGAGGCTCGTGATACTAATAAGCTGGAGGTACTAACAAGACCACTCTTATCTAATCAATTTGAAACCATTATAATCAATTTCTTTACTGCATTACTCACAGTGAGTGTACCTCAGCCGACAGTCAAAGGGCCTTGCCAAAACCGCTGAACACGCCAGTATTCTCCTTTTTACTCTACAAAGACTTTTCACAGGACGTAACCAAAGATGCAATGTCTTTCTGGCTAAATAAAGGCTCGTGTCAACTTGGAAAGGCACCAAAATGTTGGTAATTAGCTAAGAATAACGAAGCAGTAGCATGTCAAGACTTCGTGAGTTTGGAATGACATTATTTTATTCGGCACGTGTCTAGCTATTTGGATACAGCAAGTGACTTCAGGGGAATTGGCAACGCCTCCAAGGATAAAATCTCTTTTTTTAGCCGATTAAAGTTGTATTCCTTCTGCAAGTTGGCCTCATTCCCTTCCTGCATACCCTCGGGGTTATGAAGTCCACTAGATAGGTCTTCTAGTAGCGTGGATTGACAAGTCGAACACTTTTGGGGCATACTCGCCACCTCCAAAACGACCGCCGACCAACTTGGCTCCAGGTACATTCGTAGAGCTACATGGATTCCCAGACCTTGGAATCATTTACGGCACGTTGAACAAGGTAATCTCATACGAGTCCTTTGAGCTCCCTCTGCTTGACCATCGTATAGACAATCATCAGAGCTTTCAGAATTCTCGTAAAAAATGTCGTGATGTTTGGGATGGGAGCCTCCATACTTGACACTGACAGATTTGTCCTTTAGATACCCTTGAAATTTCTCCGATAGAAGGCGCCCCCTTTCTGTCCGAAGCTCCATGATTTGCATGACGGTCAGCGGAGTGAGAGGATACTTTGTAGTGAATACTCGATCTTGGGGGGCTCTTGCCACGAAGCTCATAGTGATATCCCCGATTTTGGACAAATTGAATTTCTCGGCGACGCTTAGAACGAGCATAGGCTCTTGGGCAAAGAGGCCCTGTAAATTCCTATCCTTCCCAATCACCATCTTCTCGAATCTCTGTTGCATTCCGGGAACTTGATACTTTATCGCCACCTCCCAGACACAGCATACATCGAAAACTTGTTGGTAATGATATGAAAACCGGGCAAATACAGAGTTGGCATTTGAGGTTTTTGACTTGAATTTGGGGTGCCTTTCTGAGAGAGAATAGTCGAAATTTTTAGCCCATATTCTCCCTAGTTTTCAGTTAATTGAATGGCATGTAGGGAAGAATACTGGAACTATTTCCCTCAAAAGAACCAACCGTATTCTCAATTGAAAACCGTACATGCCAACTTGGTATTTGGCCGGTTTTCATTACCAACAAGTCATCAATGTACGCCGTGAGAATGGGGACACGGTCTCTGCGGTGAGTTCTGCCGGGTCTTTCAGGGGATCGAGGTAGAGTAGAAGTTGATTGATAGTGGTGGCATTTTCACTAATAATGAGTGGTATCTGATTCTCACTCGTCTCTGCGTCTCCAAAGGCAAACATGTCTTTGAACATGGGCAAGGCATGGGAAAGGACACCGCGCGGGAAGGAGAAGACTACATTATCACTTGATTGGATGTTAAAGTCTCCGTATCCAGGGGGAAACTCTGAAGAGCATTCGACAGGTACTGCTGCCATATTGAGGGATAGTCTCCAGACTTCGGTACAAAACAGCTAACTTACAGTTCCCAAAAGGCAATAAGTAAACACAAACTGAAGATAGATGCTTTGAACGTACATAGAGAGTGGTAATGATATTCGCTTGTTGTACGATACCGTAGGGGAGGAGGAAAGGATGCGCCGACTGCCGCCTTGCTGCCACCAATCAAACCCAGATCACCATTCAGTCCTTCGGTCCTGCCGGCGGTTTGGATATCTCGACCCAAATCTTTCCCGAATCGAATATCTCTATTATCATCTGAACGCTTTCAACCTTGTTCCTTATTCTCTTTGTGCAGATCCCCCAGCTAGGAAACACTGTTCTTTACTCCAGGCCGCAATGATGAATGACAAGGCGCCTCAAGAATGTTCCACAGATTGATGTTTACGTCGCTCTTTCGTCGTTCTTCCACAAGATGATTATTCAGAGTAACGATTCCGAAAACGGAAATGTTCAAGATAAGATGCTTGATGTATTGGGTTGAACCGGAGAACTTTCCTTCCCATATACAAATATATTTTGTTTTTATCTTTCTCTATGGACAAGTTATGCGGCTAAGATCACCAAAGCTCTCGAGATCATCTACAAAGCTCAGAAATGGATTAGAACATGGTTCCTTGAACCGATCCAGCATTCATTTTGAAATACTGAATGGAGATTTATGCGTCGTTTTATCAAATGAGACTCTTCAGAGGGATCTTCTCTGACTCCACACGCGCAACTTCCTCTCGTAAGGCTCTCCATTGAGATTGTGCATCATAAAATGATCGTGGAAATGTCGCACCGTTAGAGTTTCCTCCTGTTATGATATCCCATAAATTGGTTTCGCATTTTTGGCATTCTGTATTTAAATTCTGAGTTTCTGATGTGAGCGCCTGCCAGCTCGGCTCAGAATGTAATCGAGTGATGACACTTAAAATTAGACCATGTGACCTTGCAAGGCAGGCAGAACAGATCTGGTCTCGGGTAGCTCGTACAGCAGCAGTATGCCAAGGGGATGGGTTTGAAGAACGCGAATGGGGATTTTCATTAATTTCGGCAAGTCTCTTCTCCACTGCAGACAGTGGTACTTTTATGAACTCCAGGAATTTCTTGACGAGCCATTCAGTTCTTTCTATTCGGTTTTCTAGAACTTGCACAGATGTGGTGAGGCTGAGAGTGTGAATTTTTGAGAAAATGGCCGCTTTTTTGGCTCTGATCACATGGCACATGACAGCACTCCCGAGTTCTTGCAAACGGTATTTCTCGGCAAGGCTCAGTATCATCATTATATCTTCTTTGTGCAAATAATGTGATTGATTGTCCATACTAAGAGCCCATTTTTCGAAGGTAGAAAGCATCCTTGATACTTGATACTTCATTGCCGCTTCTAAGAAGGGAATCGCTGTATCTTTTGAGATACTTACGGGTTCCCTCAATGGATCGTTGAACAGAAGTAGCTGTTTGATTGTGGCAGCGTCATCATTCAATCGCAGGGCTTCATGTCGGTTCGTATTATTGGACCCAATAGAAAACATATCTTTGAATACAGGAGAAACATGTGCCAAGATACCACTGGGGAAAGAAAAGGCAACATTGTCACTAGATAAAATTTCGAAGTCTCCGTATCCTGTGGGGAACTCAGATGATGTTTGGATGGGTGGTGCAGGTGTGTCTTCCGACATTTTACAACAAGGCTTTTGAGGATAATCATGAGCCCATACTTGAAATAATAGGTCAGTTAATCTACTCACGTATTTGCAGTAATTGGAGAAGGTAAGGTTTTGGAGAGGTATAGATTACGTGGACCTTGTCAGGCTCCATCCACCTTGAATTTGTGTCGGCTCAATATCCTTCTAGAATCTCAGTGACTATCTCATAGGACCCATATTTACTGCCTCTTTTGAATACAATGTATCTCTCAAATCATTTCACATAGGCTCGATAAATTGGTAACACCTACCTAACCTGTCACGGTGCATATGAAAAGGTGTAAAAGGGTCTACTCGGTTAATATAGGCTGAATAGATCCACAATAGTTGAAAGGGGCCTCTGGACGAGCCTGGCCGTACACAATTATCTCAAAAGTGCCCCTCGGGCCACTACGCATAAGGCGTAGACATTTGTCACCAGAGACCCTCTAAGAACTTGTTTAACGTCGGTTGAGTGATGTCTCAGTATATTGTGTGAACATGAACACGATCATCTGCTGGGCGTGCTCGTCCGGACAAGTTCTTTCGGTGCAAAATAAGGTCATTGCCCAAAAGTGTCCAGACCCCCGATGAAATTTGACGCACGATAATGTGTGAATATCACCTTTCACCGGCATCGTGCTCGCGATCGAAATGAGCGCTTCATTTCTCCAGACATCTGGTAATGATGTTGTTGATAGGACTCTCGATTATAACTATAAAGCAAATGGTTTGGACAATTAAATAAGTTTCTGTTTACTCTACAGAGGTTAGAGAGCGGACATAAACTGGTAAAGATTCCAAAGCAAGTACTTCCGCCCGTAAGGCAGTGAATGCTGAAAGGCTAGTCTTGTGGAGAGGTCGTGAGTCATCAAGTCTGGAGATCTCCTGTTTTATATCTTGCCTTAAGCCTGAACCACAGTCCTTGCACTGCGCCTGTCCCAGATACCAAGCCAGGTCGAAAAGCAAGGACCCCCAGTTCGGTTCGGTATGAACATGAGGCCCAATGTAAATAAGGCCTCTCAAAATCTTCTCCGTACATTCTTCACAATGCCGAGTATGTTCCGGATCCTTTGGCTTGCGTTTCTTTATAGGTTGGTGGTAATAATAAAAGTCTTCTGCTTCAGAGGTAGGTAGATCTGCCTCAAATAGGAACCGGTCCTGCATAGTTTCGATGACCTTGTTCAGCAACCATGTGGCTCTTTCTGCACGCCCTTCCATGATTTGTACATACGTCATAGCGCTAATAGGATATTTGCTTGTAAAAACCTTTTCTTTCGCTGCCTGGAGCACCCGGCTCATGGCAAATGCCCCTAGGTTGGGCAAGCGGAATTTCTCAGCGGCACTTAGAAGAAGCATTGGAGCCACTAAAGCGAGGTATTCTAATGGTCCACCTTTGGTTGTCGCCATCTTTTCGACTTTGGCTATTATTCTGGAGGCTTGATATTTCGCGGCGGTTTCGAGGAACGGCATGAATGACTTCACTTCCAATGACTGAGACACTTTGGTCGGCTCAATGTGCGATAGGAAGTGCTCAATGGTGGCCGCGGTTTCCTCTAAAACGAGTGGAGTTCCGCTCTCGACATTGTTCAGGTCTTGCGTTGAGAGCATTTCCTTGAACACGGGCGACACGCGCGTCAAAGAGTTGCAGTGAAAGGAGATAATGATATTATCACTTGATAGTATTTCGATATTGCCATAGCCTGGTGGAAATTCCGAGGATGTCGCGAATGTTGTTGAAGGCACGATGGCTGCCGCTTGCTTCCTTTTCGGAGCCGTTCGTTTCTTTGGGGGCATGAGAGTTGGAATGGATTAACACAAAAAGGAGGTTTATTAGGTGAAAGTACTGTAAGTTTGCTTTTAATAGGCCGGGTACAACGTGGTGGTCGTAAAAAAATTTCCACCGCCTGCCACCTTAATACATGAACCTTACAACAAAATCTCCTCTTGAAAAGATGTATTTGACAAAACTATCGAGTAGATGCAAATCAAGGGTATGTATAATCATTAAAAGGAAGAACAGAAGATTTGCATGTCAACAGGCCTGGGAGCCACTTCCATATCCGGTCAGTCACAATAGATAAACCAAAGGTGCCTGGATGAGCATCACAAGGGTGGCCAAGTATTTTATCTACCTGATTCGCTTGATAAGCATGGGTAATTGACTTCCCACCTGTGGTTGAGATTTGACAGCAGGTCGAGCGACGATCCTATAAGAAAGGAAAATCAGTCAGAGTCAAGGCATAAATTCTCGCTGGAGGTATGTCGATGGGGATGTGTAAAAGAATACAGCTCACGTCGTCTTTTGTGCCAAGTCGTCTAATGGGACGTTTAACTTGAACTCGAAGTTGCGGACGAGTGAGAAAAGAAGGGCCTTCATCCTATTTATCGCGACATGATCAGTTAACAGATTAAAGTCCATACGGAGAGGGGAAGGCTCACTCGACAATCGCGAAGCGGAATCCGATACACGACCTTGGTCCGGCGAGGAAGGTCAGTTGGCTACCCCAAGGATTGGGAATTGAGCTCGCTTCTTTCGGTGGGTCAATCCATCTGTCAGGACTGGAAGATTCGGATGGTTAGCTACAGGTCAACAATAGAAATGCGGAGCTCACTTGAACTCTTCTGCATCTGGCCCCCAGATCTCGGGTAACGTGTTCATAACACGAATAGGGATAAAGATAGCATCTCCCTTGGTGACCCTTAAGATCTCAAATGTCAGCTCGTAGAAGAGAAATATATAGGGATTCAACGCACCGAAGTTCTGATCTGAGATTACCATTCTTATCCTCAAACGGTTTTTCGAATGGGATCACGTCCTCTTGAGATGCAACGCGCACTGTACCCGTCACGACTGAGTGATATCGTAGCGATTCGCGAATCACCATGTCCAAATAGGAAAGCGAGTTGAGTTGTTCCATCGTCGGGTGGTCGGTAGGCACCTCGAGTATTTCTGTCCGGAGCTTGTCTTGGACAGCAGGATTACATGCGAGAGAAACAAGTGTCCACGCCGTCGATGTCGAAGTTGTCTCGTGTCCCGCAAGGAAGAACGTAGGAATCTGGTTCATGACCTCTTCGTCGGACAATTTCCTGTCTCCAGTCTTTCCCTCGCCATTGTCTGTCAAGTTGGCTTTGATCAACAGCGTCAACAGGTCTCGAGCACCACCCCTCCTGTCCAAACCGCTCTCGTTTTCTTCAGCTATAGCGCTCTTTCGGTCCTTTACGATGGACTTGCCGATTTGGTTGATGATCACTCGTGATTTGCGGATGAGACGAGAACGTCTGTCGAAGTTGATCAAGCGGAAGAGAGGAATGTACATTTTTAGGAGCAGAAGGAACGCAAATCCTCCATTGGTAGAGTCGATGGTGCGGGCGAGGGCAGACGAAAGTGGGTCGTGATGCTCTGCGTCGGTTTCGTCCGATTCTACGTCCTCTTCGCCATGATTGATGACTTCTTGTTTGACTTCGCTGATAGTGGTAGCAGAAGGAGATTTTTTGGCTGTCTTGCTGACAAGGGTCTTGAGTGCTCCGAATGAGTAGTTGAACCCTGCCATCCCGATAATGTCTAGAGTGGTGCAAGAGAGATAAGCGAGCATTTCTACAGGCACCCATTCATCGGCAGCTCCTGCCGAGGGAACGGCACCAGGCGGGGAGAGTAGGCTCAGGGCATTGCGTAACTGAATATAATCAAGTTTGAGAAATCAACGATGCTGGATGACGAGTAGGACACATCTCACCTCGTTGGACTTGTCTACGAAAACCTTGGTCATCTCCTTGATATGCATCGTACCGAAGGCGGGGTTCATGATACGGCGTTGCCTTTTGTGGTCTTGACCTTCTGCGAATAAAAGTCCGTGACCAAGTAGGTCTCCGAGGCTGTATCGAATTTCCTCTGGTTTTTGGTACACCATGGTATTGGTCAGAACATGTTGAAGTGCCTTGGTATCCGTAGTCATCAGTCGATCTTGCTGCAGTAGTGGATTTATTAGTATAATGAAATATTTAGTTATTTATAACTATCTCACGTTGAATAAGAACTTGTATACGATGACATGGCCGTACTCTTGGAGCATTTGCTTGTGCCAGGCACCCCGCGGTATGCTGTCGCGAATATGCTTGATGTGCCCAAATAGGTAGCTGGTAATCTTTGGGCCCTTAACCTGTCTTAAAGGAGAGAAAAAGGGATGGAGGAATGTGTGCACGAAAGAGTAGGATGAGAGGAAGAGGACCGTAACCGTGCCCGCTACCACCAAAGAGCGCCAGTTTGCGTCTACGAGGGCAAAAAATCTCTCAAGCGATATAGAAGACGACATGTTGGCCAAGGTGAGGTTGGACTGTGGTCGCTGCACCTTATTTAGGATGGGTTTGGAGTGGTTGGTGTCCAAGGGGGTGAGTACGAATACCCCAGTGTTTGACCCATGTCGCTAGTTTCATTGGTTACTATTTATCCAAGGCATCCCGAGTCGGGACATGTGGTAGTGGGAATCTAGGTTCGGAGGTTTTGGTGAGGCCGCCATATGCCTCGACCGGTGGTTCTATCCCCCAAAATCCACCTTCACGTTTACTGCGATTTCGTCATGTATTCAAGGATGCAATCTAGTTTCTTATGCGCAGCACAAACTGTATATGTACTGATCGTTAGGAATACGTGTTGGTTCATCATTTGCCACTAAAGTCGACAGGCTGTTGGAGTCTTCTGTCGAAAAAGGCAATATAAAGCACTTTTAGAGGAAACCATGAACCTTGAAGGTATCAGGTAGCTGCGGACAGAAAACCTTCTGATATTCATACGTCGCTAATGATAGCAGCATACAAGCCCAATACCAATAGGCATACGTGGTTGTTGAATATGACATATCATCGTGACACAGTGCACTCTATTATTCAGTCGGCATGCTAAAGAAACCAAAAGGTCCTATGGGGACGTGGCCAGTTCTACTACTACTTGATTCGCTTGATGAGCATGGGCAATTGACTCCCCATTTGTGGTTGAGATTTGACAGAAGGTCGAGCCACAATCCTAGAGGAAAAGAGGACCAGTCAGAATCAAGACATTGTTTCTTGCGGGAAGTATGTTTGATAGAAATGGAAAAAGTAACATGACTCACGTCGTCTTTTGATCCAAATCGTCTAATGGAACGTTCAATTTGAACTCAAAGTTGCGGACAAGTGCGAAAAGAAGAGCCTTCATCCTATTCATCGCGACATGGTCAGTTTGCAAATCAAAGTTTGCATTGAAAGAGAGGAGACGTACTCGACAATCGCAAACCGGAATCCGATACATGACCTTGGTCCTCCGAGGAAGGTTAATTGGCTACCCCATGGGTTTGGGATCAAGCTCGCTTCCTTTGGTGGATCGATCCATCTGTCGGGACTGGCAAGTTTCGGTGATTAGTTTGAATATAATGATAGAAAAAATGTGACCTACTTGAATTCCTCTGCATCTGGTCCCCAGATCTCGGGTAACGTGTTCATAACGCGAATAGGGATAAGAACATTATCTCCTTTGGTGACGCTTAAGATGCCGAAATTTCAGTTCTCAGGGGAAACAGAATATATTGGGGAGTTCACACACCGGAGCTCTGATCTGAGGTTGCCATTCTTATCCTCAAATGGCTTCTCGAACGGAATGACGTCCTCTTCAGTCACGACACGTACTGTATCCGTCACGACTGAGTGATATCGTAGCGACTCGCGAACGACCATGTCCAAATAGGAAAGCGAGTTGAGCTGTTCCATCGTCGGGTGGTCGGTGGACACCTCGAGCAGTTCCGCACGGAGTTTGTCTTGTATGGCATGATTGCAGGCGAGTGAAAAGAGTGTCCACGCCGTCGACGTCGAAGTCGTCTCGTGTCCTGCGAGGAAGAATGTAGGGATCTGGTTCATGAGCTCGTCATCCGATAATTTCCTGTCTCCAATCTTGCCCTCTCCATTTTCGGCCAAGTTGGCCTTGATCAATAACGTCAACAAGTCCTTAGCGCCACCTCTCTTGTCCAATCCACTCTCGTTTTCTTCGGCTATGGCGTTCTTTCGGTCCTTTATGATCGACTTGCCGATTTGGTTGATGATTACTCGCGATTTACGGGTGAGACGAGAACGACTGTCAAAGTTGATGAGGCGGAAAGGGGGAATGTACATTTTGAGGAGCTGGAGGAGAGTGAATCCTCCGTTCGTAGAGTCGATTGTGCGGGCTAGAGCAGAGGAAAGTGGGTCGTGATGCTCTTCATCCGTGTCGTCCGAGTCCAAATCCTCTTCGCCATGATTGATGAACTCTTGTTTGACTTGGGTCGTGGTGCCTCTTGAAGCCGACTTTTTGGCTGTCTTGCTGACAAGAGTTTTGAGTGCTCCAAACGAGTAGTTGAAGCCTGCTGTGCCGATGATGTCTAAAGTCGTGCAAGAGAGATAAGCGAGCACTTCTACAGGCACCCATTCGTCGGCAGGCCCTGCCGAAGGAAAAGCAACAGGTGTGCAGAGTAGGTTCAAGGCATCGCGCAACTAAAAAGCCCGAACAAGTCTGAGAGATCAAACATCTTTAGTGCAGAATAGAGCATAACAAACCTCGTTGGACTTGTCTACGAACACGTTGGTCATCTCCTTAATGTGCATTGTCCCGAATGCTGGGTTCATGATACGGCGTTGGCGTTTGTGTTCATGACCTTCTGCGAACAAAAGCCCGTGACCGAGTAGGTCTCCAAGGCTGTATCGGAATTCTTCAGGTTTTTGGTAGGCTATGCTGTTGTTCAGGATGTGTTGGAGTGCCTTAGTGTCCGTAGTCATAAGTCGATCTTGCTGCAGTATCCCATTCGTCAGTATAATGAAGGGATGGGGTGGCCATAGATAGGCTCACATTGAACAAAAACTTGTATACTACAACATGGCCATACTCTTGGAGAATATGCTTGTGCCAAACACCTCGCGGTATAGCGTCGTGAAATTGTTTAATGTGCCCAAATAGGTAATTACTAGTCTTTGGGCCCTTAAGCTGACGTAGAGGGGAGAAAAATGGATGGAGAAATTTGTGGACGAAGGAGTAGGAGGAGAGGAAGAGGACAGCAACAGTGCCCGCAACCAACAAAGAGCGCCAGTTTGCGTCTAAGAGAGCAAGAAAGCTCTCAAGAGACGACATGACGAGGCCAGACAGTTCTCGCTACACGTTATCTAAGACGGGGCTTGGGGACTGATGAGGTGGTTGACGTCGAAGTTGATTGCGAATATCCAAGTCCGTTACTTATACCGCCATTTTCGTTGGTTACTATTCGTCCAGGGCATCTCGATATTATAGTGGGAATCTAGGGTTGGTGAGGCCGCCATGCCTCGACCTAGTTCTTTAGCCAAATTCTATCTCATGTTTACTGCGATATCGTTCTATATTCAGGGGTGCAGTCTAGTCTCTTATGCACAGCACAAACTGTATATACACTCATCGTTTAGAACACGTGTTAGCTCCTCATTCGCCACTGAGGTCGGCAGGATGTTGCAGCCTTCTGTCGAAAAAGGTAATATAAACCACTTGTAGAAGAGCATATGACCCTTCCAAGGGTCAGATCTCTGCAGAGATGTGGTTCTCTGATATTCATACGTCGCTAATGAATACTAGCTTACAAACCCGGCCCTGATAGGCATACGTGGTCTTTGAACATGACATGTCATCAGGCCCATACACCATGATGCCCGCTCGACCAGGATTTCTACTTGATTCGCCTGATGAGCATTGGCAGTTGGCTTCCTGCTTTTGGCTGAGACTTGACGGCTGGTCGGGCGACGATCCTAGAAGCAGAGTCAGCACCAAATTGCGAGACCGAAGCACCCCTTCTACATCTTTATCCACTGGGCAAAGTGAAGAACAATACTCACGATGTCTTTTGAATTAACTCCTCTAATGGCACATTCAATTTGAATTCGAAATTGCGAATCAGAGCGAAAAGAAGAGCCTTCATTCTGTTCATCGAGACGCAATCAGCTTGTGGAATAAGGTCGACATCTTAGAATAAACCCACTCGACAATAGCGAAGCGGAACCCAATGCATGACCTCGGCCCCGCAAGGAAGCTCAGTTGACTACCCCATGCATTCGGTATCGAGCTCGCTTCCTTGGGTGGATTGATCCATCGATCGGGACTGTTAGGTGGTGCAGTTAGGTCATTTGTAAGGTAGGGTGTAGAATAAGAAATGAACATACTTGAATTCTTCGGCATCAGGTCCCCAGATCTCAGGCAACGTATTAAGTACTCGAATTGGAATGAAGATACCATCTCCTTTGGCAACGCTATAGTTCCAGCGACCGAGTTCATCATGATATCCAGCAAACAGAGAGGCCACTTACCGAAGCTCGGATCTGACGTTGCCGTACCTATCCTCAAATGGCTTTTCGAATGGAATTACGTCGTCTTGCACCGCGACACGAACAGCCTCATTCACTACCGAGTGATATCTCAGTGTCTCCCGAATGACCATGTCAAGATACGAAAGCGAGTTGAGTTGTTCCATCTTTGGGTAATCAGTAGGAACTTCGAGTAGTTCCGCACGAAGCTTGGATTGGATGGCAGGATCGCAAGCAAGGGAGAAGAGTGCCCATGCTGTCGAAGTCGAAGTTGTCTCGTGACCTGCGAGGAAGAACGTTGGGATTTGGTTCATAACCTCTTCATCGGTCAATCTTTGATCGGTACCATTGTCGGCCAAGTTGGCCTTGATTAACAATGTCAAGAGGTCTTTTGAGCCACCAGTTTGATCCATGCCGCCATTCTTCTCCTCAGCTATCGCCCGTTTCCGTTCGCTTACAATCTGTTTTCCAATCTCGTGAATGATGGCTCGGGACTTGTTGTTGGTACGAGTTCGGCGATCGAATGTGATCAAGCGGAATATTGGTAGGTGCGTCTTGAGAAGTTGGAGTATTGGGAAGCCGGTGGTCGTTGCATCCAGGGTACGGGAAAGTGCAGACGCGAGCGGATCTTTATTCTGAGAAGTTTCTCCCTTTACGGCAGTAGCAGACGTCTTTTTCGTCGTGTTGTTGACAAGAGTCTTGAGGGACCCAAAAGAGTAGTTGAAGCCCGCCATGCCAATTATGTCCAGCGTCGTGCATGAGAGATATGAGACCATCTCTGCAGGTACCCATTCTTCATCTGACTTGGAAGGGCTATTCGTAGCGGAAAGAAGCTTTAGGGCATTGCACAGCTGAGCAGTGGCAACGGAAAGTGTAAGAAAGATAAGTCATTGGATGA